ACTTGCTCAATAAATGAATAAGTGAAAGAATAAACAAATGACTGATTTGATTCATTAAATGAAACACTGTAAATGTAGAGAAGAGGTCAGAAAGAGACATTTGCCTCCAAGATGGAATTTTCTCTTTCTCTACTGACACATGCCATAGCTGGGTCCTTTTCAAGCATTGGCTTAAACAGATGAAGCTTATTGGAAAACCTCCCAGATTTGCCTGTCTGTGCTCTTTCAAGGCTTTGTGACAATCTGCTTCCTTAGTGTCCACCATCTTCCCACCATCTAGAGCAGAAGTCAGCCAACCTTGGCTCTTGAATCAAATTTGTCCTGCCACCTGTTTTTGTAGAGCTGGTGAATAAAGAATGGCTTTTAGATTATCAAGTAGAGAAAAAGTAAAAGAAGAAGATTTTGTTAGATGTGACAATTACATGGACTTACAATTTCAATGTTCATAAATAAAGTTTTATTGGAACACAACAATGCTCACTTGTTTACATATTGTCTACAGATGCTTCTGCCTAACGGTGGGACAGTCGGGTGATTAGAGATGGTATTTGTGGGTATGCCCCACAAAGCCAAAACTATTTACTCTCTTGTTCTTTATAAGAAAAGTTTGCCAACCCTTATAAAGAAGATGTGGTATATACATACAATGGCGTATTACTCAGCAATCAAAGAGAATGAAATCTTGCCATTTGCAACTACGTGGATGGAACTAGAGGGTATCATGCTATGTGAAATGAGTCAGTCAGAGAAAGACGAGTATCATAGGACTTCACTCATTTGAAGACTTTAAGATACAAGACAGATGAAGCAAAGTAAAAGGAAGCAAAAATAAAAAACAGGGAGGGGGACAAAACATAAGAGACTTAAATATGGAGAACAAACAGAGGGATACTGAAGAGGTTGTGGGAGGGGCTAAATGGGGAAGGGGCATTAAGGAATCTACTCTTGAAATCGTTGTTGTACTATATGCTAATTAACTTGGATGTAAATTTTAAAAATAAATAAAAAATTTTTTAAAGAAAGAAAAGTTTACCAACTCCTGATCTAGATGAGCTGTCAGGAAAGGAACTGGAATTTCTTCATAATAAGGAAGAAAACATTCATCAGTTAAAGCTCCTAAAATATGTTTTAAAGAGATTTAGCAAGACAAAACATCAAACAAAAACAAAAAACAAACAAAAAAGAGGAAACGACACTAATAATAATAGTAACAGCTGTATATTATATGCCACGTTCTCAGCTAAGCAATCCTTTAAATAAAATTGATTCTCTCCTCTCCATCCAACATGGCTACAAGATAGGTAGCCATCACTACTCTCATTTTATAGATGAGGAGCCTAAAACTCAGAGGCTGAATAACTTTCCCTGAGTCAAAAAGCCAGCCTCAGACAAAGCCAGGATCTGAGCCTACAGTAGTTTAGCTTTGAAACCATATCTTTAACTGTACCTTTAGAATTTCAGTACAAATGAGCAAGGACTGTTGGGCACACGTAGAGGGAAGAAGGAAAGTACACACAGTTTTTCCAGGGCAGACAATGGAGAAATGTGGAGCCACAAAGCCTGGTACAGGTTTTAGGGGAAGTACATCTCCTCCTATCTTTACGTGGCTCTCACAGCGGAGGAAGAGTTAGGGCTGATGGACAGATGTTGGGCAGCTCTGTGTAAGCCTATAGCTGCTAGCTGTTCCACTAGACAAGTCTTCAGACACAAAAGAGAACTTTCAAGAAGATGGGCAAGGGAAGGGACTTGTGAACCCAGGAGCTGCCAACGTCACTGGTGGCAAGTGAGGGCTGGAGTTTGGGGAAGAGGATGAAAGATGGAGAAAAACTTGCCATATGATGAAAAACAACTAGAAACACCCTAAGAATGTAGCCACTGTAGCCGAACAGAGATGATAATTGTTAAAGGAAAATGAAAGAGACCACGGGTTGCACATGAATTGGAAGCCTGACTCTTAAGCAGAGAATCCGATCCAGCATAGAGTCTAGACCCTGGAGGAAGAGGTTTGGAAGAACAAAAATGTGTCATTTAAAGCCAAACACCTGTGGAACTGTCTCATTAAGGAAAGCACATTTCTGTGTATTTCTCTTCGGGTAGTGCTATGTGGACTTTTTGGTGCGGTAAGCACTGGGATGGCTGTAGGGGGGTCTGCTGGAAACGCAGGGCCTCCCTCGGACTCCGGCATCCAGCTGCCTCTGTCTCAGAAGGCAGATGCCTGAGTCAGTTGTGTGGCCAGGGTCTTCCCAGGAATCTCTTGTGCTGTGAATATTGCATCGTGCCATTCCTAAAGCACGGATGAGGAAACAGGAGTTGAGACAAGCCCAGTGACTTGACTAAAGCCACAGAGAACCCCGATAGGAGCCCCCTGCCCATCATCCCCCTCCACACAAACATAGTCTTGGTTTGTAGAGTATTCGCACCTTCCTCGACACTGTCTAAAACCAAGTGCTTTTGATTCAGCTGTCAAGTAATGGCTCTTTTTAAAAATTAATTGCAGGGACGGCTGATTCAGTCCGACTCTTGATTTCTGCTCAGGTCGTGATCTCACGGTTTGTGAGGTCGAGCCCCACCTCAATCTGCTTGGGATTCTCTGTCTCTCTCTCTCTCTCTGCCCCTTGCATGCTCTCTTTCTCTCTCCCTCTCTCTCTCTCTCAAAAAAATAAACATTAAAAGTGACTAGGGACTAACTACAGATATAGACCTTCTCTCAAATTTGTAGCAGTATGTGGTGATGTAAAATTTTTAATGATAACTGCAACATTACACAAAGGATATTTCCCCAAATCTATTGGCATCTGTGGACTGTGTAAACATGACCCAGTGGGGAAAGAAGACCCATGTTTTGTTTTTTTTTAAAATTTTTTTAATGTTTTATTTATTTCTAGGAGAGAGAGAGAGAGAGAGAGAGACAGCATGAGCAGGGGAGGGTCAGAGAAAGAGGGAGTCACAGACTCTGAAATAAGCTCCAGGCTCTGAGCTGGCAGTCAGCACAGAGCCCGATACGGGGCTCGAACCCACGAACCGTGAGATCATGACCTAAGCGAAAGTCAGACGCTTAACCGACTAAGCCACCCAGGCGCTCCAAGAAGACCCATGTTTAAATAAGTTTGGGAAACACTGGGTCCACCTAATTGTAAACAAGTTTCGTTACTATAGGATTTCTCAGAGCTTTTACTTTGCTTTCATGTGCTATGTGCATCTAAAAGGCAAAAGGAGCAAGCAGTGTTCCAAAATGTTTTTGACTTTAAAGCATCCCCACCCCACACACATATATTTTCATGGTGCACTCAAGGAAGTGGCATCTGATGAAACATTTGGGAAAACAGTGGTCTAAGTGTACGCTGAAATTTCAGCAAGACTAACCACCATTCTTCTGTATTTCATCCTGTTCAGAGGAGCCTGAGGCACAAATTCCTCCTGACAGAAGTTTTGTAGATAAGACCGCAACACCTGTCACACTGAGAAAGAAAACAGTTCTTCCTGCTCTGGCCATTCTATTCTTTACCAAGGTAGTTATACCCGAGTGAAAACCCGACATGAATAAAAGTGAAGCCACCATGTATTCATGGGAATTAGCCACAGGGAGTACTCAGTGCACCATGGGGAGTGATGTTGATTAGGAGGCTGCAGAAACATCTGTCCAAATCGTGTGTCTGATGAGCAATTTCATGTTTTCAACTACCTTGGAAAGCTTAGATGACTTTTCTAAGCACAGACTTGTTAGCACATTGACCATTCCATCATAGTACCCGGTCAAAGCCCTGGCCCGTCCGTACACTCTGCAAACACTGGGCCCCCTGATCCAAGAGCCAAATGAGAGAAGGAGCCACAGGGACAAGAGGTGACATCACGATCACAACACAGCCTCTGCCTCCAAGGTCTTTGGTCAACTTCTGGTAGCAGGAATGGAGTTTCTTCTTTGTGTGCCGAATCTCTCCATACGATCCTGCAGCAGTGTGGGTTCAGGGACTTCTGAAACGCCTGCTGGTCAGCCCCTCACTTTCTATTTTAAATCAGCACCATTCTTCCCATAGAACTTTGCTCCCCTTTATGTTTCACATCCTCACCTTTGAACATCAGGTTCATTTAAGTGATCCTTTCCCAGAGCTTCTCTTATTTTGGCCTATTTTACCCACTTCCCCAATTCACAGATTTCTTTTTGTTCACTGTCTTACATTTAAAATACCAATATTTATTAAATATCTCTGCCTTTGGTCATCATCTGTTATAAGCTACTCTTCTCATCTGGGAGTCTTCTCCATTTTCCAGTTGCTTCTGATACATTTAGGAAATTTCCCAATTCTCATTTCAGGATTTTATCTATCTAGATCAGACCCCCCAATGTCTGAAGGCATACATCCTGCAAGTGTGACATGAGTTGATATGTCTGGATTAGGGGCACCTGGGTGGCTCAGTTGGTTAAGCATCGAGCTTCAGCTCAGGTCATGATCTTGAGGTTTGTGAGTTCGAGCCCCATGTGGGGCTCTGTGCTGACAGCTCAGAGCATGGAGCCTGCTTTAGATTCTGTGTCTCCCTCTCTCTCTACCCCTTCCCCACTCATGCTCTCTCTCTCTCTCTCTCTCTCTCTTAAAAAGTGAATAAACATTTTAAAACATTAAAAAAAAAAGATAAGTCTGGATTAAATTGGTTCTAAAGAAAGCAGTGGATGGGGGGGGGAGGGGGTAAATAAGAACCCAACTGTGAGACAGCCTGTCTGGCAAGGAAGAGCTTGTTAGCTGTGACTCTGGAAAAGTAACCAATCTTTCTCTGTTTCATTTCTGCCCCCTCCCCCTGCCAATATTGGAGAAAATAATACTACCTATCTCATTCAGTTATTATAAGGATGAATATATCTAAAAGGCTTGTAATAGCACCTAGAATCTAGCAAATATCATATAATCATTAGTATTATTATTTTCACCACTTAAAATGACAAATGCATTTGAGAATAGAGTATAAAGTTTTTTTTTTTTTTAAAAAAGTCTTTCTGTCTTTTTAAGGCCCAGATTATATAAAGGATCATCTACCGAAGGTCCATCAGCACATTTCCTATATAGGAGAAAAGCGCCCAGCATTAGAAAAGACTGGAGATCTCAGATATTTATGGAGGCCTGCCTCAAACAGTTGCTTACCAGCAAAATATAAATATGAGTATGTTGGTGAAATTGGTTGGGGAATACCAGAGTTTGATTTTATCAACCAAACACGGCTTCAGACTGGCTTTCACATCAAGGTACTGCTCTTCAATATGCTCTTCATAGCATATTGTTTCTGATTTGAATCCTTTCTGAGTAGACTTCCATAGGAAATGTCATGTTCTTAATGTGTCATTGAGAAATAATGAGATTTGAGTTTTTCAGAAAAATAAATGTGTGCATAAATGGACTTGCTGTCATTCCCTTTTAGTTCCTTTAATGCATGAGAGGAAAGGTGTGAAGAAAAGGAAGCCATGCATAATCCAAAAGCATTTGTGTTTGGCTTTGGAATGCATTCAGATTCACACTTCTGCCGCGACATTCACACGTACGTCCCCCGTTCTAGCACTGCGTTATGAGTGGGTGGTATTAAAAGAAGCCTGTGCTGGACATCATCCACAAGCCTAGAGAGTCCCAGATCTTTAAAATGCACTGTGTTGATAATGCCCTTGTATCGAATACGCCAGGGTAATTAGCCAAAGAGTGCTTAGAAATCTTGTCTTCTTTCCTTTTGGTGTTATATATGTACACACGCGCCTATACAGTCTCCTCTGAAACCAGAGAAAACTGAGGTGATTTGAGAAGAAAAATCTGAGAATTCTGACTTTTTTCCAGGCAGGGCTCTGCATTTTCTGAAATGCAATCGTGAAATAATTGGAGTTTCTCAAATGCTTCAGGCAATATGGTACAGCCTCACATTGTACAGGTCAACAAAAGAAAAAGCTTTTTCTGGCCCAGCCTATGGCAGTATAAGAAACTGTTTGGGAGCTCAGTCTTTTAAGTCAGACAGACCCAGATTCAAATCCTCACTCTGAGTTAGGTTTAGCTCTGTGACCCTGAGCTAACGAGTTCACCTCTGTGTCTCTGCTCCCTTCTCTTCCACATAGCAGTGGGTGAAGGTCCACGTCATAAGATCACCTGAATTCCTAATGTAGTTCTGCCGCCTACTAGCTGTGAGTGGCCTGGGGCGAGTTCCTTAACCTCTGTTCTTCCATATCTTCATTATGAATCTTAGTATTTACCTTACTGGGCAGTTGTAAATGCTAAGCAAGTTAATATTTGTAAAGTGCTGGGAACAGTGCCTCACTCATATCAAGCACTCTATGTATTTAATATTATTTTTGTTACATATGAGAACACAAGAACACACTAAGTATGATGTCTGGCAAGTGGTTGACATCCAAATGTCCGCTCTTAGTACTGTGGTGGTTGTATTTAAAGTGACTCAGTGTCATTTAAACAGAACAAATGCTTGGGTTCTTAAACTGTGTCCTATTCCACTTAAGCAAGAAAGATGAAGATCAGACATTTGATTAAATACCAAAACTGGCCACCAGTGAGAAGAGCAAGCAAGGGAGCTGGTTGGAAATAAGTCCATAACTTTTGTTGCCTTTTTACCTCTCTCTTGGTGACGCCCTGCTCTTGTACATGGCCCTCAATCTGTCTGCCCATCTTGACTGTGTGGATAGCTTCTCTTCCTTCTTTATCTTTATATTAAGAACACATTCATCTATTCAAATGAAGTGTATTCATATATTCCTTGGACTTTGAAGCAAGCTGTGAATCCAAAAGAGATGTCAGCCATGAGCTAGCCTTCCAGGAAGGTATTTATTCTGTTTCTTTCATTCATATTTCACAGACGGCTTTAAATCACTACTCTCTTTGGTTGCACTGTCTTCTTAACTGCTGTGAGATGGAGCCTGAACCATACATTGATTTTCTCCCCCAGCTTGTGACACACTCAGAAGCTGGTGTTAGATACCATATGTTTTCACTCATACGTGGAACAGAAGAAACTTAACAGAGGACCAGAGGGAAGGGGAAGGGGGAAAAATAGTTAAGGAGAGGGAGGGATGGAGGCAAACCATGAGAGACTCTTGAATGCTGAGAACAAACTGAGGGCTGCTGGGGGTGAGGAATAGGGGAAAGGAGGTAATGGGCATGGAGGAGGGCACTTGTTGGGATGAGCACTTGGTGTTATATGGAAACCAAATTGACGATAAACAATACTGAAATTTTTTTCATAAAATAAATAAAAATTTAAATTTCTATTAAAGATCTATTAGGGAAAACTAATTAGCTCTTTAAGCTGGAAGATTAAGTGACTGAATTTGTGTGTAATAATGATATTATCAATATCAGGAAGAAAAGAGTGAACAAGATTCTATTTTAAAGACTCCTAAAAGATAATAAAGGATGATTACAAAATAATAAAGGAATATTACAAACAAACAAAAAAGAAGCTGGTCTTGTTTGGCATAAGCTGTGAGAACTGTTACTTATCATTTGTGCACTTTCTTGGCCCTGGCTTGTTGGTCGGAATTGTTTTCAAAGATGTACCTGTCTCCTAACAACCTTGAACATATATTAGAGAATTCCTAAGACACAGAACTTTATAATGAAAACAAGATTCACTGAGAATGACCATACAGTTGACCCTTGAACAATGAAGGGATTACGAGTGCTGACCTCCCATGCTGTTGAAAATCTGTGCATAACTTTTGATTCCCCAAACTGTAACTACTAATAGCCTCCTGTGACGAGAAGACTTAAGGATAATATAAAATAATCAATGATGATGATGACATTTGGAGTATTTATTATATACTGTATTCCTAAAATAAACTAAAACAAGAAAATGTTATTAAGAAAATCATAAGGAAGGGAAAATACATGTATAGAACTGTACATATATACATTCTATGAAGTACATTTATAGAATTCCACATAAGTGGACTTGTGCTGTTCAAACCCGTGTTGTCCAAGGGTCAACTGTACATATTAGCAAATAACCATATATAATTTACCCAGCAGTTAAAGCCTAGAGTTTGTCATGGAGGCTGCTAATCTTCCCCTCTGCACCAGGGCATGGCTGCCTCTTGACATTCTAGGCAGATGGTGATATTCATTTTTGAGTCTACCTTCATACTTAGATTCCTTATCAACCCAATGCTTCAGGCAGCTACCTCTGATCAATATGACTTGGCCTGAATTGATCTTTGAGCTGATACAAACATATGCTCCATGCATAAAAATGAGCTCCTAATTATAAACAATATAGGAGAGTCCCTGCCAGTAAGTCACATTCCTCTTCACCAGGTGTTTGGTTAAGTCCTTAGTTTGATGTAACTTAGGGCAACATCTCAAGGGACCTCCTGTTCTTTCTCTGGTTCCTTGTCTTCCGTGGACCCCTTCTACATCCCTCCACCATCTGTCTGTAATAGCCCCGACCAAGATGGCACCTTGTTTCAATCCATCTTCAGAGACTCCTGTGTCTCTCACTGCAATTGATCAGAACTTTGATTTTAAGCACAAACCTTCACCGAGTGGATTTTTATAGCCTGAACAGCTGCTCTTCCTAATCCACCACTCCAGGTTTATAGAAGACTGGCCCCTAAGGAAGCTCAGGCACCTCCATTAGACTCTTGGTAAAATGCCTGGGGCAACTGCTTCCTATCTGGGAATGGTCTCTCCTATTTGAGGCACTCGGAGAGTTCTACAGATCATGTGGATTTGGGTAGAAAGATAATAACTTCCAGGCTGAGTGACACCTGAAAAATTTTCTCCACATCACAGAGGTCAGTAAAAATCACCATATCAGGTTTCTCTTCTGAATCTTTTTTATGTTTAGGTATTTCCTCCTCACTTTTATATGGGATGCAATGTCATCATAATACATGTGTATATAAACCAGTAAAAATCATTGCTTTTGTCATTATCTTAGATTCAAGAACAATCCATTCTTCTTTTAAAAAAATGGATTTAGTTTCTGCCAAACTGTATGTGTTGTTTCTGCAAGAATATATGAAGATCATTGAAACAATTCCTTTGGTTTCAACCCCATGATAGACTGAAGGGCATTTCTAACTCCTTAGCTGGACACATCTCCTCTCTCCTGGTCTTTCTTTAACCCAAACCTTAATAGAATCATCTGGCTTCCTAGGGACCATTTTCTGCTCCCACTCTGACCTTATAGCCAAATGATTTAAGTCATTTGGTTTTCTCACAGAAATAATGTTATACTGAACTTGATGACTAACTGTTCATAGGTGTGATCACAAAGACCATATTAAACCAATTACTCATAACGTATATTACAACCAATATATCATGGAGTGTAACAACTTGAAAATCTGTAGAAAGTAATAAAGTGAACTAGGGGAACCCAAAAAATATATTTATATGAGATACAGTATGATATAATAAAGAGTAAAATCTTCACGACTTTGAGACTTCTGCCTCATTTTTAACTGCCACAAATTCCAGTGTTATAAAATAGAGGTCTTCTCTGTGACAGTTTTAGGGATATTTGAACAGACTTTTAATGAGACATTGAGTTTCTTGATGGATGTGAATAGACCCTATCCAAGATTGGTTGCTTCATTAGACATTTTCTCTCTGTGAATTTATTTAGAGAAAGTAAACGTAGGAAGAGCTGGAGTATTTGTTATGTGAGGAGGTTTCTGTAATTACTTCCATTTTACAGTAGAAAACTGAGGTACTGACGGGTGAGTTTCCTTGTCTGTGGCTGCACAGCTAGGAATTGGTAGAGCCAGGATTTCAACTCAGGCTGTGAATTCAAGGACTTAGAAGGAGTACAATATGCATGAGATGAAATGACAGAACATAGAGTCAGAACCTTCAACTTGAAGCCAGCATGTAAAGTGCACATCTGTGTTATCGCTGTTCAGTAAGGCAGGGTCTGGCTGGTGGCCATCGCAACTGCCTCCTCTTATAGAGTGTGCATTTCTTTCTTCACGGTGCTCTCAATTTTGTCCCAGCTTTCCATTCTGCTTCATGTGTACTCCACAGACTTTGTTTACAGTATTAAAATGAATGATGAGTTGATATCACCCACATATTTGATATAATAAGAAACAGCTTGATATTTTTGAGGGTTTTTTTGAATTTTTGAATTTCTATTTAATAAGCACGTTGAGTGCTTCAAATTCAATCTTCAGCACTATGGAAAAAAAAAGAGAAGAGAGTGAAGTCCTAGTGAACCGTCCCTTCTTTTCTTGTGTTAGTCCAACCCCGT